ACATTCCAAAAATAGTTTAAAACACACACAAAAAAAATCCTGTATAAGCAGTGACTATAAGGGACAGATATTTTAGGTCAGATGACTGTTAGGAACCAAGAGTTGTTCTCATAGTTTAAAATTTCACAACTTTAAATCAAGCTCAGGTGCCCACTGCCTACTTTTTTTGGTCCAGTGTATGATACTGTATTCCTATGGTTTCAAATGTTGGAAAGATGTGCAATGAAACAAGATAAAGAGCTTGGAATGGTTATTTGTCTACTTTGAGTTTCTATATTTGGTGCAGTACCGAATGCATGAAGTCCACCACTAATATTGCTGGTCCTGAAAGCACTGTGTGTTGCTTCATAACTAATTTCCTTGACTTCTCACCTTATACCGTTTAATAAAATAAATTGTATAAAACATGTTTTCAATAGTTTAAAAATTAAACACTACAATTTGAGAAGAGCCATTGAATTTGTTGATAAGTTTGTGGATGAAGTTTGTGTATAGGGAGATACTTCCCATTTTCCCCTTCTGCTCCTTAGAGCATTAATTCATGCTGGTTACAATTCTGTGTGTTTGTTCATTTCTGGTGCCCCATTGAAATGGTGATTCTTCATGAAGGAACCTAAACCAGTGTCGCCATGTTATTCAATTGTGGAAATCTGATACCCTAGACTAATTCCAGCCTCAACTGATGTCCAAATATATATGCACTTCCTAGCAGGTTCATTCATTTCATAACGTTCAAGAACAGGAATGCTGGCTGATTCTTCTCTCCCTTGATCAGAAGTACTGTAGTCAACCATAGCACCCATATAGCTACCCTGTTTTAGGTTAGGCAGTGACATGGACTGAGGGTCAAACGTGGAACCTTCCTGTTCATTATGGCTTAGTCCCACTCTAGAAATGGCTTTTTATCAGTTGAGCTGTTGGGCCATGTATCTTGTATTTTATGTTCAAACACCTATAAATAGAGTGCATTTTAAAGAGCATAAGCCGACACAGTAGTTTGATGTCACAATGAATGAGTCAAGTTTGAGTTTGATCATTAAGGTTAGGATTTGTTAGATAATTTGCAGTTGGAATTGGAGATGACAAAGTACATAGTACAAAGTATCCTGCAACAGTGCCAATGTCTGAATTAAAATATAAAAAAAATTGACTCAGGCTTGTCTAAACAATGATAGTCCAATTACTTAACATTTTGTGTTGCATTCATCCACAAGTATTATTTTCAGTATGTTGAAGTGTAGAATGCTAAAATGTTATAGAACTAATAAAAACTCCAGTCAGTATGTGTAATGTACACAAATTGACTTGAACATTAATGTAATTAGATCTTACTTGAAATAAATACCAATTACAGCATCATTAATGTTATACATATTTAATGCGGGAAAAACTCCCATGTTGAGTTCTAACTACAATGCACTATTAATACTTCATGGTTACAATGTCCAGTTTAGGATGATTTCCCTTTCCCAAATTTGACGAATGTCATACAAGAGGCAACTGTATCAATGAGATTTACTACCTAACCGACTAATATGGGTACTTATCTGATTCCCTTCTTGGGATTACCTGTGTGAACTGTATTTAGATTCCTTACAAATTACTCTTCTGTTTGGGAAATGGACCATTGCTTGGTTTAACTGGCTTTGAAATGGGTTGTGGTTTGTTTCTAATGATGTGATATTGTAGAACATCTCAGGGTAAGCCTTTAGCTTGCTTTGTGTCAGTCACATGTGATGTCCAATTTTACCAAAAATCTAGAGTGTTAATGAAGTATGCCTTTGTCATACTTCATTAACACACGCTGTGTGTTTGTACTTTAAATGAAATTACTGACTGGCACCTAATGTATTGCCATAAATTTAAGAGGCAAAGTCAAGCAGCAAATAATGTGGAAGAAATTGGGGTTAAAGCAATAGATTCAATTGAAGCTTAAAAATCAGATTTGACCTGTTCAATTGAACAAATGTTAATTTAACAAATGTAAATTAATCTATTTGGGGTCAGGGTAAATAAACTACATATTTTTTTGATCTTGAAGACCATTGTATATAATACAGTGGAGGACAGTGGTTTGGTCGTCCAGGTCATCTAGCGCTACTGTGAAGCCTCTGAGACGCCGTCCGGCGTGGAGGGCGCTATATAAATCCAAGTTGTTGTTGTATCTACATAGGAGGAAGACCAGGGCAAGCATGTCAAGCTGTAAGCAGTCCTCTTTGTAGCAAGAAAATACAATAAACTGCACTGAAACAAGTCCCACCACCCATGAATACCCAGACTATAATACATTGGGCTGCTTGTTAAAGCCCCTGTGCTGGAGATGTGTGTATTTATCTGCTTTCATAAAATAAGCGAATATCACCATAGAAACGTGCGTACCAGGATGTCTAGAAAATAAAAGGTAATCCATTACATAACAATGGTGATAAGAGGGTCGCATTGTGATTCTGCAATTGAATGTATTGCAGTTTTTTTGTTTAAATTAAACGATTACATAAAACCTTATGCTTTTCAGGAAGAAAATCAAAGCATCAGTTTTAGCGTGGGATGCAGAAAGGAATCGCAAGGTAGTTTGTAGTTTTTGATACCTAAAGGCCTGGTCTTTTTAACTGAGAATGACATGTTTTATAGATGGCTGCACTGTCAGACAACTACTGTAACAGTCTCACAGACTAGCAGTGGCTGTTTGTTTCCCTTTCCCCTGTTTCCTTTATCACCGTTACGTGACTTTTCCCACAATTTATCTTTATAGCGGCTATTTTGTAAGAGAGTACACGCAATCTATTAATGGGCTGAAGAACACGAAAAGTTATAAATATTGTGGATGCATTTACTCAAGGCAAGTGAGGAAATGGGGAGTGGGAGGAGGGGGTGAGGCGTGTTCTAGGCAACAGGGGGGAAAGTGTCAGGTTTTTGGTACAGTATTGTAAACCACCCTTTGAATACTGGGGGAGGGAGGGAGGGAGGGAGATTACTGTTAATTTTTAATATACTGAAACCATTGAGGCACTGATTTTCTTCAGCACATTACACTACAATCTCTCAAGCAAAACTGTGCATCGCTGTTGTCGGATTCAAATATCTTTCACCACGTTTCCAATTACAGTACTTTATACGACAGCCGATCGTCTGACCGCGAATCAGTAAAACCCGCTTCATTCCCAGAGACGGCGCTTAAAACAGGAGAGGTTGGGGTTGATTCCCCCCACACCCCCCCCCCCCCACACCCCCCAGCTTCGTTTTATAAATCTGCTACAAGATCGCGTGTAAACTTGGGGAAGCAATCCGTGTAGAGTGCTGAGAAACCAGGCGCCGGCTGCCTCGGTGCCCGCAACCCAGGTGGCTGACTGTTAAGGATCAGCTTTATTTTCTGATGTGATAGTGAAGCTGGTGTGTGTGTGTGTGGGGGGGGGGGGGGTGTGGGTGTGTGTGTGTGGGGGGGGGTGTGAGTGTGTGTAACAGTGTGTATGGGGGGGGTTGTGTGTGGGGGGGGTTGTGTGGGGGGGGGGGGGGTGTGTGTGAGTGTGTGGGGGGGGTGGAGGTGGGGTTGTGGGGGTGAGTGTGTGTGTGGGTGTGTGAGTGAATGTGTGTGTGGGTGTGTGTAGGTGTGTGTGAGTGTGGGTGTGTGTGTGAGTGTGAGTGTGGGTGTGTGAGTGAGTGTGAGTGTGAGGTTTTTTTTTGTCTGTCGGCACAAGGAAACCGTGTTGTCTGTGCGCTTGTCATTCATGTCAACTCCAACCCGGCCTGATCTGATGTCTCGCCTCCCTTTGCCTTAACCACTTGAAAGCCACAAGCAAGGCTGCAGTGTGTGAGTGAGTGTGTGAGTGAGTGTGTGTGTGTGTGAGTGAGTGAGTGTGAGAGTGTGTGTGTGGTGTGTGTGTGTGTGTGTGCACAATGCACATGTTTTGGGCAATCGTCGAATGGTTTCCATGGATCCTTTTTTCAAAAAAAATCGCTCCAACACACACAGAATGATAAACATATGATATCGTGTGCACACCTGACTGCCTGTACACCTAAGCTCCGAGAATGCCTTGTACTAGGGTTGGTGCGGTGCCTGTGAGAAAGCAGACGTCGCTCGTTACCAGGTGAGTGTCTGTGTACACAATCATGGAGCCAGCCAGCCTTAAAATAGCCCCATCGAAACCTGAGCCCTCAAACCCAGCCAGCCAGCCTCAGCAACACCACTGCGCACAGCACAACACTTTCAAAATGGCAACAGTATTGAACCATACACCAGTCTGTACAGATAATCACATACAGTGCAGTACTGTACAGCGGGTATCTTAATAACATCTCCATCATGTTTCCCCTCGCAGTGGCCGGGCGGCCAATCTTTGTCTCTTTTCGCGGTGGTTAGGACCTCTCCAAATGATTTTTTTTTTTAAATTGCAGTATATTCTGCTCCGTTCCTCTTTTTCTGCATGTAGTATTATAAAGTGCAAGTTTCCATAATCCAGAATTCATCATTAAGTTGAACCTGGTGGTAATATTATTGAGGGATGTTGGGACTGGGTCAAGTAGTGTAATTACTATGTTTAATGCTTTTAAGCGCCAAATGAGCTCTTGAATATTACTGTACAGAGAAATTAGCTCATGTCACTGAGCGAGTAATGGAACGCAGGGAGTTCTTGTGTTACAGTCTGCTGATAAAATAGCATTAATGATTAATAAGTTGGAAGCATATACACCTCTCTTTTGCAATAAAGAAATAAATCCGTATGTCTTGCTGTCAAAAAGTAACCATGGGCATGCTCGCTTGCTAGTGATGTAACACTGTAGGCAGCCGATGGTTTTGGTGGTGCTTTCTTACCCAACTTATATAAACACCTGTCTGTTCTGGAGAGGGGGGATGTATGCATGTGTAGATGGGAGAAACTTGAATTCCACCCAACTTTAGCTCCATTCACCTACACGGTTCAGTTCTGTTGTGTTATCTTGTGACAAAGGTAAGCCCTTACTTACAGCCCATGGCCCTTTTTTTCTTAGTATTTCTTATTTGTTCCGAATCCAAACCGTGTAACTGTACATTCCAGTGGCAAAATGTTTCATTTAACTGAAAAGATCAAACATGTGTAAAAAATGTCCATTGTTCTTTCTGGTCAAATTGAGCCTCCGTGTTAATTTCCAGATCCTCCAGAAGATGATGCGTTCACTCAAGATAGTCTCCTGCCCAGACTCAGGTTGGTATTTCTCTCTCTCTCTCTCTCTGTTGAATTATCCTTGGTTTTGCAAAGTATGAGTGACACTGTGTGTGATTGATGCTTATTTTTATTCCCATTTCACAACTTGATAGTTCCCTAGAAAATCCAACTCTAACTTGTGCCTCTTGATAACTATGCCTCTTGGTGTGTGTGTGTGAGTATATGTATACACCCACTTTAACTGGACATGTCAAAGGGCAGCTACGTTTCTAAGTGAATTAATGGATTCTGTTAAACGAATTGCACTCCCCCATGACAATTACATAAGCTTTCTATTCAATGCTTCTTCCAGATGCGCGTTAAATTCCATCTTTAGAAATAATATAATTGCTTATTGTAGCGTGCGGGGCATTGAAACAAAAAAGTGCAACGATTTGGGATTATTGAAATGCCTTCTTTACCGATCTCCCCCGTTCCATCAGACACAGGATCCAGTGGATCCACACTAAGCTCCTACCCCAGTTCTGGCCAGGCTGCACTGGCTCCCTGTGGCGCCTGGAGACCCTCCTATGTGATTGTGCTCCACCACTCACTGTGGAGCGCTCTGCGACCCTTCCCCGCGGCGAGGGATGTTATATAAATGAAAGTTGTTGTTGTTATCAAGTCTCAAACAGTTTTCTTTGGGAGAGAGGGGGGGGTGGGGAGCGGTTAATATTGAAACCATAGCGTGTAACTTCCGACCAAACCATATACTGGTCAGTATCACAAACGCATCCCGGTGGACCGTAAATCACGGGTTTTTTAGTGTTCTTTGCTCATTGGTTGTGATTTAGGTATCGGGATCCCACTGGATGGGGGTACTGTAGTTTAAGACATTATGGCATAGGAGTAGCAGTTTTGTGTGGAGTGAAGATAGGTGCGAGGTGCTTGTGTTCAACTGAACACCCCCACAGCCCCGCTCAGGGGGGCACAGCAAGCTTCAAGCTGAACGCTTCAGGGCAGGAAGCACTGCGGCGCTGGAGGAGAAAGAGACTGTTTTCCAGCCTGGGATCCAGGTCCTGCCAGAAGTTGATTTATTTGCTTCTGGAGCCTAAGCCTCTAAAATGCACTCTCTTGGTGGAATGCATTATAAAGCATCACCATTGAGTGGTAGAGACATGCATTCATAAGTATCTACTGCATTTTGTTTCACTTGTACCGATTTATTTTTTTGGGTGGTGGTGGTGGTGGGGGGGGAGGAAGTTTAGTTGAATCAATAATAAATTATACAATAGTTTTACGAGTTATACTCAGGGCAGGGTAAGGTGGGATTGCAATTCTGCAGCAGCAGAAATGAAGGTAATCATTTTCATTCATGAAAATGACATTCAGTTTTTGCTCATGTCAAACAACCGTTTGCCAGAAAGTCCGTTCATTTTAAAACTGTTCCGGAGATTTTGGGGGATTTTATAAAGCCCCAAATAAGTCAACAGACAAAGCTGTTTTGCTCAAGTATCCTCGGGCTGCAGGCGGCGCGCTGGGGGGTGGGCGCTGGGGGGTGGGCGCTGGGCGCTGGGGGTGGGCGCTGAGCGCTGGGGGGTGGGCGCTGGGGGGTGGGCGCTGGGCGCTGGGGGCTGGGCGCTGGGGGTGGGCGCTGGGCGCTGGGGGGTGGGCGCTGGGGGGGTGGGCGCTGGGGGTGGGCGCTGGGCGCTGGGGGGTGGGCGCTGGGGGGTGGGCGCTGGGCGCTGGGGGTGGGCGCTGGGCGCTGGGGGGTGGGCGCTGGGGGGTGGGCGCTGGGCGCTGGGGGGTGGGCGCTGGGCGCTGGGGGGTGGGCGCTGGGCGCTGGGGGGTGGGCGCTGGGGGGTGGGCGCTGGGGGGTGGGCGCTGGGGGGTGGGCGCTGGGGGGTGGGCGCTGGTTGGGCGGAGCATTTAAACGGGAATTGCGCCACCGGAGGAGCTGAAACGGGAATTTAACTCCATTGCCCGTGTGTGTTGGTTATATTTTGACTCGCATCGACTCTGTTCGGCATAAAAACAGTTACAACCGTAACCGACCCCGGTGACATCTGTGGGAGTGCATGTTATTGCCCCGGGAACTGCACCGGGGAGGCCCCGGGGGGGCGATCGCCTTCACAGAAATGTGGTCTATCTTTAATGAGGACCGAGCGGGTTTCCAAACACTTCACATCCCATCGGGGCATCTTTGTCTCTCGCCGCAGTCAGCACAGTATCCGCCAAACCAAAGCCACTGAACTTTTCGCTTTTTCTAAAGATACATTTTAGTTAACGCGATGCCCCCCCCAACCCCACCCCCTCCCCCTGCCCCGAACTCCCACCCCAGTGCCTCCAGCGGAGTGGGCTTCCCCACATTGCACTGCCCTCTGTAGTCTCCTCGTTGGATTTGCAGTGCACACACAGCGGGTGTATTTGCCGAATGCCCCGAGCGCTCCAACCAGGCGGGGTAAGGCCATGCGGGAACACATCTCGATCGACTGCATTTGGAGTGAGATGCTTTGCTTTACCTGAGCGACTTGTCGGATTGCCCCCCCGCTCCTGGTCGCAGTCCGGACCGGACCCTCAGCTGTCGGTACATCGCTGTTGGGTGGATCCCCGCAGCGCTGCTGTGCGGCGCTCTCGGTGCCTCTCTGTGACCTCCTCCTCCTCCTCCTCCTCCAGCAGCAGAGCAGCCCCAGTCTGTGCACCCACTCACAGCACCAGCCGCCGGAGAGGGGGTGCCTCATCCAATCAACACAGTCCCTTTAAAGAGAAGGTGTCCCATTGCCGATTTCCTCCTTCAAAAAGGGCTGGGAAGGCAATTTTTCAATAAAGGTTATTTTTTGTGTGTGTGTGTGTGGGAGGGGGGGAGGAAAATAATTCCACTTTCCTGTTGGTAGTGTCAATTGTCTTATGATTTGAAATAAATCGAAGTGTGTAGATAGTTCCCTTACCTCCTAAAAGTTGTGTGGCATCCCAGTTATCTTTATTTTAAGAACGCTGCTGGGAAACTAAATACTTAAATCATTCCCCGAGTTTCATAGAAACAATAGCACCTATAACTTCTAGAATATTTCAAAGGGCTTCACAGAGCTTATGTTGGCAAGTGCAGCAAGCATTTTATATACAGCAATATCCCACAAATATCCATAAAGTAAATGAATTTTATATTTTATGGGTGGTGGGGGCGGGTTCTCTTTTTGAAGAGTGCCATGGCATCTTTAAGATTCATCTGAATAGGCAGATAAGAGACAGATATAGGTTAATGTACAAGGTTTACTTCTTCAGCAGGAGTTCACCAAATATTATCTTATTTGTCTCTTTCAAATGCTGCTTGACCAGCTTTGCATTTATTTGGGATTATTTTCATAAGGTTACATATGATGGCTTTCTCAAAAAGTTTCAAAAGTGTTGTAGAGTGCTCCCCACAATTCCCGCTAATCCAATGTAAGTATGATCCTGTCCAAGATGTTTGTGTGTTTTAAGCGACTTCCTTGATCAACAATGGAATTTTCTTACCCTCTTCAAGTAAGTTTCATCAGTTGTCAAACAGACTACTTATATAGGGGATCATCAGAAGTGAATCTCTGAGGTGTTTCAGGAAACAATATATTTGTGTACTGGAGGATTATCCAGAAGGCGTGAATTCATGATATAAAATAATAATTAATCATTGCATTTGATATAGTGTCTTTCACATCTAGAGGATGTCTCAAAGCATTTCACAGGAGTTACTGTAAAGTGTAATAGTGCCTGTGTATTTTATAGCAGAATGTGGCAGCCAATTGGCACACAGAAATGTCCCACCAAAAACAGCCATGAAGTGAATGATCAATTTCATCTGGGAGTCTTGTGTCTTGTGTCTTGTGTCACTCATAGCTCTGGTATTGGGCAAAAGAATCAATTCTGAGGTGCCTACGTGATGAAAGGGAAAGAGAAATTGCCTGGGATTCAATCGTTTATAGTACTTGAGTACCCCATGCTGGTTGACTAGAACAAGGGAGATTTTCAAAACAATGTCAGTCAACAGTTGGTGGTATATTCATAGAGTGAGGAAAATTTACACATGAAAAGACCAAGTTAAATATCCAATGTTTTCTGTTGATTGACAATTAATGGTTTATAAGATCTTTAAAAAATGAATGCACCTTTCTTGGTTAAATGTAATTTATATATTGTATTCATTCAAAAAATGTTGGGTGGGTCTGAGTTCATATTGCTTTTTTAAATGCAATTTGCTGTTGTTGTTCTACAATAACAAAATATAATCCTGATATGTGTGTGTGCTACAATAAACTGAAAATTAAACTCAGAAGACAAAAAAACACATTTTGGGTTCATCTAAATCTAATTCATGGAGCCACCTGAACAAGTATTTCTATAATAATATCTTGTATCTTACCTTGAAAATTCTAAATTTTTTATTAAATGTCATCAGATACAATAATGACATCGAACACCATTTAAAATGCTATTATTTTTCAACATTTGTAATATTTTACCAATGGTTGGATTATATTTAATGTGAAGAAGATTAAATAATCTACAGAAATCACTTTCTGAAATATTAGTTTGATTTATGAACTAAAAATCGAATTAATCATTTTCCTTTACTTAGCTTCTTAATTATATTATGCAGTGTCCAAACCATACCTTTTCTGTGAAGAGTGGACAGTATAGTTCAGCATATTTTCAAAAAGAACTGTAATAAATATTATGAAGATGTCACTGTTTGCCTGTACAGTAGTTTAATTGTAAAGTGTATACGTAATATTGTAAACTGAAATAACTTGTAGGGTGTCATTAAAAAACACCAGTTATTTGTTATGAATCAAAAGTGAATTGCAGAATTCAGTCTTAAGAACAGGGACAACACAAAGAAGATCTATTATGAACTTTATTTATGAGAAAGCTGAAAGTTTACTTTTAATTTTATTGATTTCAACAATTTGTGTTGTATATTTGTCAACAGACTCCAGTATTCTAACTGTCATCTGTGCCTTTTTACTGAATGCACTATACAATTACAATGCAATTTACGTTTTGTGTTTTTTACATCAGTGTGG